CAAAAGAAAAGTCTAAAACCCAAAGACCCTACTGGAAGTGGACGGTTGAAAAAGATTTCAGAGATGGGATATGCTATAAATTGATTTCTGCCACAAACTACTACTATGCTGGAAGCTGACAAATTTATTGAACTACTACTTATGATGACAATAAATTAAAAACAAAGCTCAATGTATTTCAAATGAAGTATAAAGTTCAAGATATTGAATTTTAGTTGATTCTGGAAAAGAGTGATTTTATGGAGAACATTCATTATTAACAGGGATCTCAAGAATAGAGGGAGTCTTCAAAAAATTAATGAAAACTGCATATGAAAAAAACGCATAGGGACCAGCAGTTAGTATAATGGCTATGTCACTGGACTCCCACGTAGTCGACCACGGTTCGCATCCCAGACCTGGTGGCTTAAAACTCACGCCAGGCACATGTGCGTGTGTGCCCAAGATCCCAAGAGGAGAATGGAGAAGGGATTGCGGGCCATCCCCTGGGGGGGTGATTTCTCGCTTTCTGTCTCTCTCTGTCTGTCTGGCGAGCGCACGCGCCCTGTAGCAAAAAAAAAAAGAAAACCTCTCAAAAAAAAAAAAACACATAGATTGTAATTTTCTGCACCAAAAGAAACTTGTACTTTTAACTCCACTTTTCTACAAAGTTTTTAAAGTCCCCTCATATAACTAATGTACTAAACACTAGGGTATTCTTGGTATGTTTGGCAGAATTCATACTTACAATGTCTTTTCTTATTTGACAGACAGTATGTACACCTGCCAGATAGAGACAAAGAGAGGAAGAGGGAGAAACCACACCTCAATGGGGTGTGGTTCTACCACAATCCCTTCTCCTCCATTTTTCTACCCTGTTGGGATTTAGGGCATGCGCATGCATGCACACACCCGTGCCCAGTATGTTAACAAGCTGCCAGGTCTATAATTCAAATCCTGTGTTTGGCCACATGGTATCTGACTCCCTTAGCCACCAGGCAATGGGGCTAGCCACATACTTAAATAGTAGTTTTATTTTTATTTTTATTTGAACTGACACATTAAAGCCTTTTGACATGAACATAAAATTCGAATAGAATTTAATTCAACATAATCCAAGTAGAACATGGCAAGACTAGCCAGTGATGGAACTGCTTAAACTCTCTGAGCTTCAGTTTGTCTATACATAAAATGGGGATAATAATATTCCTCATAGGCTTTTTGTCAGGGTTAGAACACATATTATGTACATGGAATCCAATAGGTGATGAGTGGTAGTTGCTGTTTCATTAGCCATCAAAATACATGCAAAATCTGACCACCTCTTATCATCCCCACTCCTACCGCTATGGTCAAACCTCCATCTTCTCTTGTCTACATTCCTAGAATATCTTCCTAGTTGGTTTCACAGGTGCCATGGATTCTGCCCACTATCTAGTCCATTTTCAACACAGTAGCCAGAGAAATCCCCCTAAAACATAAAATCACCCTCTAATGGCTTCTTAACTCAGGGACAAATCCGAGGCCTTACCAAGTACAGCCTTTAGTCTTCTTTCAGACCTCATTTAGGATGACTAAATGTATTATCATCCAAACTCTACAAGGGAGAGCCTAACTAAACAGGACACTGGGAAAACAGTAAAACTGGGACTGACAAAGGTAAATGGGGATATATAAGCATAACTTCCTTACTGTGCCACACCAACCTCATCAGTGTTCCCTTCAGGTCTTTGCACTGGCTATTTCCTCAGACTCTTTC